ATATTTGTATATATGGCAAGCGAGATTGGGAGAGGGAGGAGAGAGGCAAGCGAGATTGGGAGAGGGAGGAGAGAGGCGAGCGAGATTGGGAGAGAGAGGAGAGAGGCGAGCGAGAGAGGGCAGAGAGTGGGAGAGAGGTGAATTGTATATGTATATAGGTTAGATAATTGTATATTATACATATGTATTTGTATATTCTAACGAATTATACATATACAAACATGACTAATTATACAACTCGAAGTCAGCCCGCGTAATTAATGTATAATGTTAGTCGTGAGTGGTAATTATAGCAAACTATAATTATGATGAGTAATTAAGTAGTATAAGTTTGTTTAACCGCGTAATTTTCCCTACTTAATACTAACACCATTGGCATTCTCTATTCATTTTCTTAACATAATTACTTCTACGTCAACATTGTATTTTCTCACCAACATGGGTTGTGATGCAGTAATGAGACTATTTCAACCTTGATTAGATGTCCTGGTTTTGAGCCTTGGGTATGAAGAGAATCATGTCGGGAGCGCCTTGAATGGGCCCTGCAGTGGGCATTGAATTGAGAAAATTGTATAAAATAGCAAATTATTAATTTAAATTAAATGTTATAACCACAGTTTCATTTTATTCTAATCCGTAGAAAACACTTGCCATTCGCCTCTCTCCCTAGAAATCTCGCTCGCCACTCTCCCTCGCCTCTCTCACTTTATACAAACACAAATGTATAAATTGCGTTTGTGTTTGTATAAAAGCGAGAGAAAATTATATATACAAATACATATATTTTCATCATATACACCTATAATTATAAAAATACAGATATTACCCTACCAGTTCTCTTTTGTCTCTCTCTTTCTCGCTTTATACAAACACAAATTATACAAATTACAATGTATAATTTGTATTGTATAAAGCAAGAGAGGGAGAGAGATTTGATATACAAATGTTTTATTTTGATTCTATTGTATACAAATTCAAATTTAATGCAAATATACAAACATAAAGAACATATACATATACAAACACAATTTTCATAGACACAGACGCCTGATTTATACAAATCGCTGCGATTTATACAAATCAAATGCCTGCGATTTTTATACAGATCTGATGCTCCATAGCAAACATAAAATTTGTTATGGTCCGCAGTTATGCAAACTATAGATATAGCATACAAATATGATTTTTATGTTTGCTAAACCTAAAATTTACTCATTTGAATTTAATCAAGACTCCAATATAAGCTCCAAACATCGGGTGACAAAAAAAAACTTGTATTTTCTCATATTTAATCGAAAAGGTTAAAGAGATCTATGTATTTCTATTGTGAAAATGCTTGATTAATTGCATAAAGTTAATTTGTAATATATTACAGTTTTTTCCCATTTAAGTATTTAAGTCAATTGAGACATTGTATGTTCTGATGTGAGAATGTATGAATAAAATAATAATGTAATATTTGCGTCTTTTAGGTGAAGGGTTACATCTGTTAAATGTCTACCAATCTTCATCCTTCTTCACTATAGTCTGTTACACTTTCATATAACTTTTTATTTAATTTATGTATAGATATATTAACAGTATATGTAATTATTTAAGATTATATTTAATCTATTATAACATGTAAAATATCTTTTTTAACTTTTTTTATTCTTAATCTTAGTATTTACGGATGATTATTTGTATTTTTCTTTTTGGTGATCTAATAATATATAAAAAATTCTTACATGTCATGTATAATATAAATTAAGCTCTCTTAGAATACTAACACACGAATAATAATAATAACAATAATAAAAACCTAGTTTAGAGGAAAGTAAAGGATAAACAATGTTAAATACTTATTCGCATCAAGTATCTACATCAGATTAATAGAACTTATCATAACTAAATAATTTAATACAATAAAAATATATATTAATTAAACGATGATTAAGTAATAGTTTACTTGTATACAAACTCACAGATGATAAAAAAAATATCTAAAGAATGATGATACTCATAATAGGTCTTCATGATTATAAAAGCATAACGATTTTTTTTTATTTTTTTTTATGTTAGTTATATTTCCTTCAATTTTATAAATGTCTAAATCAATTGCTAGGATGAGCAGCCAATGAAACTGAGTCTTCAACTACCATTCATTTCTAGTATTTCCCATGAGCTCGATAGGAAACTTCCAATGTATTTGATCCCTATTTTAATTTTTTTTTTATCTATTTTGTAATTTAACAGAGTAATATTTTTTTTTAAATTTAACAGAGTAATAAATACTTAATGTTCGACATATTTTTTTTCCTTCCAAAAATGAACTACAAGTATAATAATTCATTCCTTCTGAAAAAATACGTCATTCCTTTTATGTAAACCTACTTTACCTGAGTTTTATTTTAATATTTATTTTATACTTAATTCACCAACCCCGTTAGTTAGCATGTACTAATATATATCAGATTCATAAGTGATATTTCCCTTTTTGTTTTTCTGCTATTTCCTTTCCTTAAATTACCGAATCAAAAGCAAAAATCCCGAGCATATAATTAAACTTGCATACAGAGGCGGACCCAGTATTTGAAGATAGGGGGCATCACTAAGAGTGGCTCAAGGGTAAGGCTAGGAGTGACTTAAGGGTAAGGTTAGCGGAGCATCCTGCTTAGGTCTTCGAAAATTTTGAGTCCCCAATAAATTTTAATAGTGAATTTTATTATTTTATTTCACTTTAATCAATATTAAACATTATAATTAAAAAAACAAAAAATTAAAACCAATTTTCGTGAAAAAATCACCCGCATTTCCCTTTACATAGTAATTTTTAAATAAATAGCAACATAGGCAAAATACAACATCTTTCTTCATACTATTCACCAACCATCTAGAATATGAACCCCTAAACCATGCCTTATAAAATCGACACATTTTCGTTCCGAATCTAGTTTGAGGTTATTCATTATCATTAATATCCGGTTGACAAGGACCTTGTTGAATATAGTGTCTTCTCACTTCATCTCGTATCCTAGGGATATATTTATCAATGGATATTCTTTCTCCAGGATTCGGTTTAAGTTATAAAACGCGAAAAATTGTCTCTAAAACTAGAACTTGGTTGAGAAGAATTATGTTTTGTCAAAAATCTATCCATTTCAAATCACAAGAATCAACAATAAATTCTTACAAAAAAAATACGTTTATAAAGAAGAACTTACCAATTTATGCGAGATAGTTGAAGTAGGACTTTAATTATGCAGTGAAGAATACTTATAAGCGGTAGATTTTCTCGAAGTCTTATATTTTGTTTAGAATTGTTCTAGGATAGTCTTATATTTTGTTTAGAATTATGCTAGGGCTTTTATTTGTTTTTAAATTCAATTAAGAAAGGAATGGGACAAAAGGTTTTTTTTAGAGAAAAAGCTGAGTTTAAAGTAAAAAAAAAAAGTTACCTTTGACAGGAATCGATAATGAGACAAAAGTTTTTTGTAAAAAGAGAAAACTGAATTTTAAGTAAAAAAAAAGGCTACCATCGTTGGGATTCGATCTCGAGCGGTCGCTCTGCAAATAGGCGACTTCGACCAGTGCCCCCGCAGCAACTCTTAGTTGCTAGGGTGCACAATTAAATATATATTAGTTTTATCAACTGTCTATACATATATATACGATTTTTTTTTAAAAAGTTTCCGGGTGCACATGCACCCTCACAGATGCATGTGGGTCCGCCCCTGCTTGCATATGCGTTTGGTTTGGAAAAATTATTAAAAACAATGTCGGATACAAGTTTGAAAAAAATAGAGTAATAATTTAGTCCAAAGGTTCATTTCCTTAAAATGATACCTGAGCAAGACCTATCCCAATTTTTGTTTCTGATGTTACGTTGCCCCCATATTAAATTGTCCAATATGCTTCAAATGTCTATGTGTGTGAAGAATCAGCATTGAGGGTAAAAGTGATGGATTATGTGCATCTATTTTGGAGTTGAGTTAAACCCCAATTCTAAATATGATATCAGAGCAAGACTCATCCCAAATTTTGTTTAGGATATTTGGGACCCATATCAAATCGTCCAATATGATTTAGATGTCTAACCCTACGCATGAATGTTTGTGTGAAGAGTCGACATCGACAGTAAAAGGGACGGGTGGTCTCGTGACCTGGACAATACTCACTTCTTGAACTAACTTTGAGATCGACTTAATTAAACCCAAAATTCATTTCTTCTAACACGTTCAACTATATCTATTTGTTCATTGATCAAATGCAATGCAGCAAATTATACCTGGTAATTTAACATATTTTAGCTGCACAAGTTGTTTTTTTCTGCTACTAATGTACAATTTGTTTCGTATGAGGGGTTGTTCATCGTTAAAGGAAACCTTAACAGAACATTTTAAGTGAAATCTAAGCAAAATGTGGCCATGAATTCGAGGAAATAAAGAAAAGCAACTAAATCTTAGAAGTAAAATTAGCTCTAAGAATTAATAAGTCTCTGCAGAATCTTTATTACTTCACTCCATTTTGTATGTGTTTTTATCCTTAATAGAGGTGACATGAATCGATTCAACTTGTATATACTAATAAAATTAATTTTTTTGTTTACGCTATCAATATATTTTAACCTATCATATTTTTTATGTTACTAATCCGAGTTTCGATGAACGTTTACCCGTAATCATCTTTGAGAATTATAAGTATATGGAAACTATGGAAGTAAGTTAGAAATATGGTCCTTATTATATGCGTCCATCTCAATATGCAATAGCACCAAACAGTGAAATTATCTTCTTTCTTTACGGTTAAGGTAAAGTTGATATACTAAGTACTATTTTAAATTCTTCTTTGAATATATTCGCTTTAATTTTGAATTTAGCCTCTACGTCAGTCAATGGCTCACAAAATGTCTTCATCAGAATTTGCTTAAAAGCTTTGCAGTACAGCCCATTAGAATCCTTTTCCACCTAATCTCTGTTACAACAAACTGATAGAATTTGCCTTCTATCATTTCACTTGTATAAATATACCTCTAATTTACATCTTTCTCTCATCATCCAAACAGTTGTTCAATAGCTTCTTGCAAAGAAAATGGCAATGCGGACAAGTTTGTTAGGCGTCCTTGCCTTTGGTTTTCTTTGTTTCATTTGTCTACCTGCTGAGGCTGCCCTTAAGAAATATCAATTTGATGTTAGTCTCTTCATTTTTCAAAATGTGTTTTTGTTTATTTTGGTTCTTAGCTACTGTTTGTTCTATACACTAGCTCATTTGGCACCTTTTTTCGTCTTTTACAGGTTAAAGTGTCAAATGTGAGCAGATTGTGCCATGCAAAACAAATGGTTACAGTTAATGGAGGATTTCCGGGGCCAACTATATATGCTAGAGAAGGAGATAGAGTTCAAATCAATGTTACTAACTATGCACAATATAACTTGTCCATTCATTGGTAACAACATTAAATTTAGATGAAATTAAAATTTATTCTAAACTTTCAGGGGATAAAACAGAATATTTTTGTTCTGATGCTTGCAGGCATGGTTTGAAACAATATCGCAATGGTTGGGCAGATGGTCCAGCTTACATAACTCAGTGCCCTATCCAGACAGGAAATAGCTATGTTTATGACTTCAATGTAACAGGACAAAGAGGTACCTTATGGTGGCATGCACATATTCTTTGGCTAAGGGCAACTGTCTATGGTGCAATAGTGATCATGCCACAACAAGGAACTCCCTTCCCTTTTCCTCAACCAGATAGGGAAGAAGTACTTGTACTAGGTGAGTGTTGGCACTCGTTAATATACATAGAATTCAGCCCCGAAATTTCTTGTACTTCTCTTAGTGCAAAGCATGAATGGAACATGACATTTCTTATGTTTAAATTTTGATAGGAGAATGGTGGAATGCTGATGTTGAACAAGTTGAGAAACAAGGAAATGCATTAGGTTTACCTCCTAATATGTCTGATGCTCACACGATCAACGGAAAGCCTGGGCCTCTTTTTCCATGTTCTGAGAAACGTAAGAATTAAGATACTGATATTTGTTCAAGTATTCAAACCCTGTCGTATCAAAATAAATATGACTTGCAACAATGTTTGCATGCAATCATACACATACTAACCATGATTCATCAATTACTTGAATATCTTTCTCAGATACTTTTGCCATGGAAGTTGACAAAGGAAAGACATACCTGTTGAGAATTATCAACGCTGCTCTCAATGATGAGCTCTTTTTTGCCCTGGCTAATCATACCTTCACAGTGGTAGAAATTGATGCAGTCTACACGAAACCATTTACCACAGACTCCATTCTGATTGCACCAGGCCAGACTACAAATGTTCTGGTTCGTGCCAACCAACTTCCAGGAAGATACTTCATGGCTGCAAGGGCCTTCATGGATGCTCCAATCAGTGTGGATAACAAGACTGCCACTGCTATATTCCAGTACAAGGGAATCCCAGAAACCGTGATTCCAAAACTTCCTACTTTGCCTGCACAAAATGACTCAGACTTTGCTTTGAGCTATAACTCTAAACTCAAAAGCTTAAATACTCCCAAATATCCAGCAAACGTTCCCCTAAATGTTGATCGACACCTCTTTTTAACAATTGGCCTTGGGAGAAATCCTTGTCCCACCTGTCTAAATGGAACTAGGCTAACAGCTTCTTTGAACAACATTTCCTTCATCATGCCAGAAACTGCACTTCTTCAGTCTCATTACTTCAACATTAAGGGTGTATACACTCCAGATTTCCCAGACAAACCACCTACTCCATTCAATTTTACAGGGGCACCCCTTACAGCCAACCTAAGGACAAATGTAGGCACAAGGATCAGTAAAATTGCTTTCAATTCCACTGTTGAAATAGTAATCCAAGACACCAACTTGTTATCAGTGGAATCACATCCTTTCCATCTCCATGGCTACAATTTCTTTGTGGTTGGAACTGGCATTGGAAACTTTAACCCCAAAAAAGATCCAGCAAAATACAACTTGAATGATCCTATAGAAAGAAATACTGTAGGTGTTCCAACTGGTGGTTGGACTGCTATTCGATTCAGGGCTGATAATCCAGGTACCTAGTTTTCAACCAAATTTTGTTAAAACTTTTCTATTGTTTTGAAAATTTATTGTTGACATATCCATTTTTTTGTGAAGGGGTCTGGTTCTTCCATTGTCATCTGGAGTTGCACACAGGCTGGGGACTGAAAACAGCATTTTTAGTGGAAAATGGACCAGGATTAGATCATAGTATTCTGCCTCCACCAAAGGACCTTCCATCATGCTAATTTCAAAAGGCTTTACTTTTATATGTCCAGATGGATTTCTTGTAAAAGTTTTACATAATTTGTTTTATTTTCCCATAAGAAAGCCAAATGCTTTGAAGATTATACACACTTTAGCCAGTGTGCGAAATTGGAAAAATGAAGGAGGAGTTTTTATCCCAGGAATTTAAATGTAATTTGAGTTGTAATAAAGGTCCACACATAAAAATGTGATTTTGGGCTGTTGTTTTTTATGAACTTCCCTATCTACTTGGATTGAAATATAATACTACTTGACTTGACAGTTTTATCAATTATAGCAAACCTGAATTAGTACCTGCTATTTTAAGAAAAAGTCCTAAAATTTGAGTTCGATCATCCATCCATATATAAAAATTGCTACAAAACTCTGTAAATTTAGAGAAAAAGCCCAAAATAATCCCTCAAGTTTGAGCACAAAAAATTTACACGAGTGCACAAACAGTTCTTTGAGTATTTATTCATGTAATGGAAGTGTTAAAAAGTTGAATAGGAACTTAAGGAATAAGGGAAGACATTACCAGAAAAATTAGAATTTTCGATGAAATTCAATTAAAATTATATTCATCATAATTATTTCTGATGGGACTTTCTATTGGAAATTTTGATTTTTCTAGTAGTGCCTGAGTTGGAAAGTGATGCAAGTGAAATAGGGATTAATTTCATAGATGTATAACTCTAGTTCTATCAAGAATTTGACCATGGTTTTAGGGGAAAATCATACTAGCACTTTGAAGTATAAAACTTATTCTCAAATTTCAGTATTTGGGTGGATGCCTTTATAGAATTTATGTAATATTTCATCTGGTGAAATAACAGATAAAATTGAAAACATTAGTAACGTAGAACAATGTTTAAATGAAAGTGTACTGTATCTTTTGGTTTTGTTTTTGGCAATTAAACACTTTTCATTACCAAAATGATCTTAAAAAGTGTACTACAATAATTTTACTGAATTTCACATATCTATTAGCGGTTCATTTTACTCGTAAAATAGATTGATTATGATTTTACCCCCAAAAAATTATAGTGCTAGTAAGTGTCACTTATTTTAGGCCTCCAAATTTAAAGATCCCATTTAACAATACTAAGATTTGTATTCTTAAAAATTAGAAAAAATTATATAGTTAGTTTCAATCTTTAGTTTAAGACTATACGATTCAAAAAATATTATTTATTTCTTATTAAACTTCAAACTCCATGTCAAGTCAAAATTAGACAAACAAATTGAAATGGAGGGAGTACTATTTACAAAACAAATAATTTTTTCATATAGAAAGAGAAAACAAGTTTGCATCTCAAAATAATTTTTTAAAATATATATTTACAAACACTTTGCATTTTAAAAAAATTAGAATAACAGATTTTAAATTTTTAAAAAAAGTATTATTATTACTCAAAAATTTAAGAGATCCGATTTATTTTTTATTTTAGGCCATGAAAGTGCTTGAGTCACCCCCAATTACAGTTCTAAGTTATCAAAATTAATTTTTTAGTTAACATACCATTCAAGGAAAAAAAAAAGTGAAGCGCCTAGTTGAGAGGAGTAAATTAATGAATGAAGGTGTTATTTCAGTGTCATAGATAATAAAATTGAGTAGCCATAAAAACATATGTAAATGGTGATACTCATAGTAGGTTTACATGACTACAATAGGACAACGAACATTTATGTATTTTAGTAATATTATACTAATTTCTTTCCTTCCTATGTCTAAATCAATATGCTATTTTTTGACCAACCAATAAAACTGCCGTCAAAAAATATACCTACATTCTACATGCTAATTAACATGCACCTTCTTATACTATAGCTAGGCAAACTTCTTTCCTTTACCGTTAAGGTAAAGTTCATAAAACTAATTTATATTTTTCTTAGCTTGAATGTGGTGGATTTTGAATTTAGCCTCTACGTCAGTCAATGGCTTTAAAAATGTCTACATCTGTGTATTGCTTAAAGGCTTTGCAGTAATACTTTTTGTACCTAATATATCTCTTCCCTTAACAAACTACTTATATGACATTTCACTTGTATAAATATGCTTGTCTCATCCCATTCCACATACTTGTCATACACCTTTTAGCCAATTAAGGAAAATGGCAAAGCAGACAAGTTTTTTAGGCCTACTTGTCTTTGGATTTCTCTGTTTCATTTGTCTACCTGTTGAGGCTGCCCTTAAGAAATATCAATTTGATGTTAGTGCTTTCAAATTTTGAATTATGTTTACTTTTGGTTGTTTTCTTTTCATCATGGTAAACTTTTTGTGGTAAACAGGTGAAATTGTCAAATGTGAGTAGATTGTGCAATGCAAAACAAATGGTTACAGTAAATGGCGGATTTCCAGGGCCAACTATATATGCCAGAGAAGGAGATAGAGTTCAAATCAATGTTACCAACTATGTACAATATAACTTGTCAATCCATTGGTAAGATAAATTAGAATTAGATGAAAATTGAAGTCTCTCAACTTTCAGCTGCTAAAACAGAATGTTTTTGTTCTGATTCTTGTAGGCATGGTTTGAAACAATATCGTAATGGTTGGGCAGACGGTCCAGCTTACATAACTCAATGCCCTATCCAGACAGGAAATAGCTATGTTTATGATTTCAATGTAACAGGACAAAGAGGAACCTTATGGTGGCATGCACATATTCTTTGGCTAAGGGCAACTGTCTATGGTGCAATAGTGATCATGCCACAACAAGGAACTCCCTTCCCTTTTCCTCAGCCAGATAGGGAAGAGGTGCTTGTTCTAGGTGAGCATTGGCGTTCGTTAATACATATAGTATTCATCCCCAAAATTTCTCAAAGTTCTCTAATGGCAAAGAATGAAAGAAAATGACAGTAATGCTTCTATGTGATTGTGATGCAGGGGAATGGTGGAATGCTGATGTTGAAGCAGTCGAGAAACAAGGAAATGCCTTGGGTATTCCTCCTAATATGTCTGATGCTCACACGATTAACGGAAAGCCAGGGCCCCTTTTCCCATGTTCAGAGAAATGTAAGAATCAAGAGACTGATATTTACTAGAGTATTTTAATCATGTATGTTTCTTAGAGTATTTGCTTCCAACATAATTCAATATGTGAATTTCTTTTTCAGATACTTTTGCCATGGAAGTTGAAAAAGGAAAGACATACCTGTTGAGAATTATCAATGCTGCTCTCAATGATGAGCTCTTTTTTGCCCTGGCTAACCATACCTTCACAGTGGTAGAAATTGATGCAGTCTACACGAAACCATTCTCCACAGAGGCCATCCTAATAGCACCAGGCCAAACTACAAACGTTCTGGTTCGTGCAAACCAAGTTCCAGGAAGATACTTCGTGGCTGCAAGGGCATTCATGGATGCTCCAATCAGTGTGGATAACAAGACTGCCACTGCTATATTCCAGTACAAGGGAATCCCAGAAACGGTGCTGCCAAAACTTCCAACCTTGCCTGCACAAAATGACTCAGACTTTGCTTTGAGCTATAACTCTAAACTCAAAAGCTTAAATACTCCCAATTATCCAGCAAATGTCCCCCTAAACGTTGATCGGCACCTCTTGTTTACAGTTGGCCTTGGAATAAATCCTTGTCCCACCTGTCTTAATGGAACTAGGCTTACAGCATCTCTGAACAACATTTCCTTTATCATGCCACAAACTGCACTTCTTCAATCTCATTACTTCAACATTAAAGGAGTGTACACACCAGATTTCCCAGACAAACCACCTACTCCATTCAATTTTACAGGGGCACCCCTTACAGCCAACCTAAGGACAAATGTAGGCACTAGGATCAGTAAAATTGCTTTCAATTCCACTGTTGAAATAGTAGTCCAAGACACCAACTTATTGTCGGTGGAATCACATCCTTTCCATCTCCATGGCTATAACTTCTTTGTAGTTGGAACTGGCATCGGAAACTTTGACCCCAAAAAAGATCCAGCAAAATACAACTTGATCGATCCTATAGAAAGAAATACTGTTGGTGTTCCTACTGGCGGTTGGACTGCTATTCGATTCAGGGCTGATAATCCAGGTACCTAGCTAGTTTCTGACCAAGTTTAGTTAATGAACTTTCCTATTGTTTCAAAACTTTTTCTTAACATATCCAATTTTGTGTGAAGGGGTCTGGTTTTTCCACTGTCATCTGGAGTTGCATACAGGCTGGGGACTGAAAACAGCATTTTTAGTGGAAGATGGACCAGGATCAGATCATAATGTTCTGCCTCCACCAAAGGATCTTCCAACCTGCTAATTTCACAAGGCTTTCTGTTTTCAATTTGCTTCATGCACCATAAGCTAAGGAAGCAAAGGCTTCAAGGATCATACAAATTTAGAAAGGAATTTCCATCCAGAAAATTCAAGGAATTTGAGCTGTCATAAACTTCCACACATAAAAATGTGGTTTTGGATTGTGTTTTTTCTTTTGTTGTCAATTTGGATTGTGTTTTCATGAACTTCCCTAATTCGTTTAGTATCAATCATTGGATTGAAATACGTTTGTTGATACTTGCTTTTGATTTGTCTCTATCTAACCTATATGACAAAAATTCGAGTCGTGCAATCAGTCATTAATCACGATACCAAATATTACAATTTGGATTGATCACTATAGCAAACCTGAATTAATCCAGTTAAGCACCTGAAAACCTATGGCTAATCAAGAAGTCGGAAAATATTTCGACTACCCCATGTAAGAAAATGCAAGCGACAACCAAGAAAACACTTTTGAAGAATATGTCGGAACTCCAAGAGAACCACACATATATCCTAGCTACTTACAACAGAAAAGGACATCCTAGCTACTTTGTTTTTAATTTCCTAGGTGGCATTTGATGGGTTTGGGAGATAAAAGTTTTTGACTTTGGCTTTTGAAAAATAATTTGCAACCAGACTCTTAAGAACATAAGCATTAAAATGAGTGAAAAATTACGACAGACAACTAAACAAATATTCCACTATAAATAGAAAAAATTGGCTTACAATTATGGTCAAATGGGATTACTTTTCTTTAAAGTCAATTTCTTCAATAAATATTCAAAACAATAAAAGCAAAAGAAAAAAAAGAATATTCGAAGTTATTGTAAAGGCACAATATCCAGTTAAGTAGTTCAGTGGACAACAAGGACTGCACAGAGCAATAAAAAGAGAATAATTTTCCAGTTGAAAGCAATAAAGACTAACCTTTTTGCAAATCCTTTGTAATTTTGCCATCAAATAGAAGATGGCAGCATTGTCTATGACCTGGTCTTGCTCTCCCTTAACCTCCTCAAAATTTCGGCGAGTTAACCGGTGAGTTTCACTTTCATTTTTTCATCTCTCTATCATAGTTTTTGGGTATGTCTTCTTCTTTCATTTCACCCATTTATCAATCAATTTTCTGCTACCCATCTAGTGATTCATTTTCAAAAATACAATCTTTTTTACTTTGTAAGTTTGAAAAATGCGATCTTTTTAATTGGGGTTTTGTGTTTGATGAGAAATTGGCTGAATTGACGGATTGCGGTTGGTTACAGATACTCAGGGATGACATTTGCAAGTGTGAAATCTACTGAAGGGTTGGGAAATTTACCCAAGGTCGTTTTGACTTCTCCTCATGGAAGGTACACATTCTTAGTTTTTAATTGATGATTCTGGAGGTATGATGGAAAGTTTGCTGGCTAACAAGTAGGATTGTAAGAAATAGTTGTGGCAAAAGAAGTCGGCAGTTTGATATTGAACCTTAATACCAAACCATAATGGTACTGCATTATGCAGAAAAGATCTAACCTTGAAGGATTAATATTATTACCTTTGTTTCAATTTGTTTGTCTTGTTTTAACTTGACACAAAATTTAAGAAAGTAAAAAAGATACCTATAAAATGTCCTTTTATCTTGTAGCAACGTGTCATGTTAAAAATTAGAATTAAAGAGTTGCCAAAAAAAGGAAAGAGACATACTTTCTCACAAATGGATTATGTAATGAGTTGGATGGGGAAGATCTTCCAAGTTCTTCATGTTGAACTGATCCCGATCTGGACCAAAAGCTAGTTACTCTAGAAATAAAAGTGATGTCTGATCATGCTATCAGCTGTTTATCAGTGAGATTAGTGGTACTGCATTAGTCATTCTGATGGCAATATCATTTGTTGAGTAATGCAGCAATGCATACTTCCTATAGCTTCACAAGTCCAAAACACTGGGTTTGTACTATGTAGAGATATTGAATAGGCACATCAAAAATGTTCCTGGGTACTTACCTGAAAACTGGCTTATGTGGTCGATTGGCTGAAAGTCCTTCTTTCCTTCATTTTGCAGTGAGGCTGAGCTATATCTATTTGGAGCTTGTGTCACATCTTGGAAAGTAGACAGTAAAGATCTACTTTTTGTTCGACCAGATGCTGTATTCAATGGTCAGAAACCAATCAGGTCATCAGCCAGTTTTCAAGTTTTAGAATTTGGTCACAATTATATTTGCTCTTTTAAACAGCTGAAACTTAATCTTTCTTCTTCCTCAACACAGTCGAGCACGTTTGATGATTAACATTCACCTGACAAGAAGCGTTTTTCTTTACTTTTGTTAAAGCTGCAGTATCATCAATCTTTTACTATCTCTACCTTTAAAATTTAAAATTGGAAAGAACTAAAGAGGTTATATCACCTTCCTTACTAACTATTTTACATTGTACAGTGGAGGAATACCACATTGTTTCCCACAATTTGGACCTGGCCCAATTCAGCAGGTAAATTACTTCTCATGTTTCAATGAATATAGTTGAGAGGTAGCATTTCTTAATTGAGAAGCAACTCCTTTACAAAAGCATCAAGTGACAGTTTCTTCTGCCAATGCACTCTAGCCCTCAGCTACATGCTAGAAAAATAGTTATGCTACATGCCAGAAAAATAGTTATAGCTCCACTTACAGTTCTATTGGTAATTGCGTGATGCAATACCTTAACTTATTCTTGAATATTTCATGCTATCTGATCAGTTTCTGAATGCTGGTTTTGAGTCTTAAATATGCTCATCTGGTTGACAGCACGGATTTGGAAGGAACGTGAATTGGTCCCTTGTTAGTTCTGAAAATGTGGAGGAGAAACCTGTTGTTACTGTGGAGCTAAGGGATGGCCCTTACAGCCGTGCAATGTGGGACTATAGTTTCCATGCTCTTTACAAGGTTCGAGTAGTAGTTATTTATCTTTCGCCTTTCCAATCAAAATATTGAACTTGTTTCTCAGATCACTTCTGTAGCTAATTAGAGTCACAGACAGCTAAACTGGACGAATACCTGTTTGAGTATACAGAAGGGTGAAAGCTAATGACAGATCCATGGGGGAATGCCCAGCTACTGTTGCATCTACAAATAATTCCCTATGTTAATTTGTAACTTTTCAGAAGTAACTACATAGAATGTGCTAATCCCCCCTTTCCCTACATATTTTAGCCCACAACTTTTCAAATCCAAGCCCTATAATTGGGTATGTGACCTTTTGTTGTAAAGAAATTTGATAAAGGACTCTCAGTTACATACCTTGGTATAGTACCTATTTGATTTGATAGATGTCTATGCTATACCTTCTGCTCTCTCATAGTTACAAGAAAGATTCTTTTGATCATGTGTGGTACATGATAAAACTTCTAATTTCTCATTTTGCAATTGCTTGCAGATCACCCTTGATAAGAAGACCCTCTCAACGGAACTCATAGTTAAAAATACTGACAACAAACCATTTTCATTCACTACTGCACTGCATACTTACTTCAGCGTAAGTATTTCTCTGGCAACTTGTGCGTGGAAATTTCCATAGTTTGAGTGCATCTCCTAAAACTCTTAAAATTTATCAGGAATTCAAGACCTGTCCAATTATATGCTAATAAATAATCCTGTTCTGCTGCCTCACTCTTCAAGTCAAATAGGCTTCTCTTTTTCCTTTTCTTTTTTCTTTTACCTCAAGCATTTTGGCTCCATAGGTGATTGGAGGTTAACTCATTTCCTTAGAATTTCATAATCTTTGGGGTAAAGTTGATTCATGATCATCGTTGAGATTGTTATCCACTAAAAAAGAATATTTTATCATCTAATATTCTCTTCTTCAGGCTTCTGTAACAGGTGCATCAGTTAGTGGCTTAAAAGGTTGCAAAACTCTAAACAAGGTTCCTGATCCCACAAACCCTGTTGAGGGAAAGGAGGAAAGGTCAGTATAAGATCTCAAATAGATCAAGAAATTGTCATTCTCTTCTCCCAGAACATACTTATTATCTTAAAGAATTCATGACTGCTATTGAGAACCTACATTCTCTGCAAACGTATGTTTCTCCGGGAGATATCTGGTTGGGCTTTATATTTTTATCATCGAGCCAGGTTAATACTCTTCTTAATGATAAACTATGATAATTACAAATGCACATACAAACACTCACGTTTCTAGAATTTACTTATACTTTAGCACTAGTTTGTTGTCAAGGTCATTTAAAAAATGATACGATTCTAGTACATGCATATAGGTCATTCTCTCAAGAACCTAATCCTCATTCTGATAATTTTACCTGTTTCAGGGATGTGGTGACATTTCCTGGATTTGTAGACTGTGTTTATCTTGATGCACCTAGCGAGTTACAACTAGATAATGGTTTGGGTGATAAGATATCTATCAAAAACACCAAGTGAGTTACTAGTACCCAGCCACATTGCCGTAATGGAGTTTAGTAAAGAACTATCTAGCCCCCCTAGTTGTCTAATTTAGCAAGTTGCTTGTGTTTTGTATGTGCAGTTGGTCTGATGCTGTTCTATGGAACCCTCATTTGACCATGGAACAAAGCTATAAAGATTTTGTTTGTGTTGAAAATGCCAAGGTACTTGCAAAGAATCTCTCTGTATTTCTGAATTGACGCGTGTGATTAGATTTCTGTGAATTTACTTTGAGGTGCTGCGCGTGATCTCTTCATACATTTGATTAAATTGCTAACAAGTATCCTGTTGTCTGTCGACTTGCGTGGTCTTTCCTCTTACTTGTGGTTGAGAAGATTCAAATACTTGACCTAATATGCAATTTATTCATATATTTTTTTGGTGTGTTTTCCCTTGGTTCATATCAGATTGGAACAGTTCAGCTTGAACCAGAGCAATCTTGGACGGCTGTACAACATCTAACTGTTGCTTAAAGATACCTCCCGGAAGAGAAATCAACTTTTTGGAGAAACTCTCCCCTGCTTTTCAATTTAAAAGACTCACTTGAGAAAATGATTGAAAATGGCAATACAAAATAAAGAATAATGTTGTATCTCACATGACCTGCATTTCATAGCAGTTTAAGAGTGTTCAAGTGATATTTTCATCTTCTTTCCCATCAATCTCCTCTGTATTTGCAAAATCTTTATTGTACAAGATAAATGAAATGAAGCTGCAAAATGCATAAGCTGAATTATCCAAGATTTGTGATTGAAGAGGAAAAAGTACTAGGTAAAGAAATGCTAGTTCCTGTTTTTGATTCAATATCAAATGAATCGTACATTATGATTGTAGCATTCAAAACATTTCTAACTATCTCTAAGAATGGTAAATACTTGAGTCCAGAAAAGCCGAATGAGAGGAATAACAGAGCCGAATCCTAATAACAGTTCCCTCACATGGCAGAAACTAAAATGAAATGACATTTTGTTTTCAAGTACTATCAAGAGCTCAATGTAGCAATTAAGCAGACAACCAAAATGATCAATACCACAGCCCATACCCAACATATCCATGCCCTTCCCTTCTTCTGTTGCTGCTTAGCATAGAAAAGACTGTTGGTTCCACCACTGATGAAGCTTCCAGCAATGGCCATATTATGCTCAATGTCATCAATCTGTTCACCTTGAGTCTCAACTAGAACAGCCATATCAAGAAACACTTGATGAAGTTTGTCCAGGCTCTTCTTTATGTCCATTACAGCCTCGTGCCTATCTTTGTCATCAAGATTCATCTCTGTTTTTGCTGCAAATATTTGAACTTTCCCGCTTTCTCCTGAAACCATCTTCTCAATCACTTCCTCTGTTGGCTCCTTCCCCGTCTCATTGTAATATCTTCTTCTGAGGCAGTCTTTGTAATCTGACAAGATTTTTTCTCTCAAAGCCTGAAAATCATTCATGATGTCCCTAAGCTTGACCCTCAATCCATTAGTCATGTTAACTCTCGTTCGATCAACCACAGTTCCTTGTGCATATGCCACTGATAATTTGCGATTCCCCACATTTGATTTGTCAAGTGCTTCAAGTTTTGCCTTGACAATCTTGGCTTTGCGAAGGACAGAGACCATATCAGAATCCATTCTGTCTCTAATGCCACGAAGAACTTTGGGACCGTGAGTAGTTTTTGTCTCCTCATTCAGATTTTGAAGATCGATCAAGAGATTAGTTATCTCTTGAATATCACCCTTCACTGCCTCGATTTCACGGAAGAAGTTGGAAAGATTGTCTTCATCTGTGCGGCTGAGTTGGCCCATCTCCAAATCCCTCTCTGTTTCAAGATCCAAATGGGCTTGTTTCTTCAATTCCACATAACTTAAGAACGATTTCGTCATGAGATCATTCATCTTCACTCCAGTTTACTGAATATTCTGCAATTAGTCAAGAACAGCTTAACAAATACACCAAGAAAACAGATAAAGTAACTGAATGCAAGAAAATATTTCTCTACCCTTTTCTGCAAGATAACAATCTGTCATGAAATAATCCGATTGAACATGAAATTCAACACCAATAAAAACAAGAAAACAGAGAAAGTAACGGAATGCAAGAAAAGATTTCTACCCTTTCTTGAAGATGGCAATTTGTTATGAAATAATCCGATTGAATATGAAATCAACACCAAGAAATATCAATAAAGCAGGAAGAGATAGATAAGAATGAAACAAGTGAATTGAAGAAGAGATTTTTTCACTTCAAATCTTGATTGAACTGAAGTGGGTTATTACCCAATTTTGAAGAGCTTTGCGTTCTTCTTCTTCGTCTTCTTGATGATGATGGTGCCTGTCTTCTTCTTCTTGGAACTGTTTGGGAGGGGGAAAGAGGGATATGGAGATTCTGAGGAGTTTCAAATATTTCAAAAGTTTCGCAAGGAAGAAGTGAGAAGTAGCCGTTTATATTGATGTTCCGCTTAAGGCGGTTACGGTTAGTAACCCAACTATGAAGTGCGAAAAAAGTTTTTTTAAAATTTTTTTCCTTTTTATTGTTTTTACACCAAAGTAAATTCAGGTTAAATATTATTGTTTTTTAGAAAATTGTTTCAATTAAAGATTAATTTATTATGAGTATAAAACGTTGTTGGTAATTTTGTAAAAAGGAAAAAAAAGATGGGTGGTGTTTGGATGTCTGCTTTGAGATGATGATATGCATTAACAAAGATAAACTTTTGTTTGACCATAGATTTGAAAAGTTTTTTCTTTTGAAAGAAAAATAGTCAAATATTTGTTTGGTCATAGAATTTATCTAGTTTTCAGGAGATTTTAAAAATCAAATCTTTAAATGTCAAATTTTATTTTAGACCTCTTTTTGACCCAAGATATAGTTGTTGACCTATTTTAAAATTTTAAAACTTGCTCCGAATTTTCATATTTTATACTATTCTTTTTTAAAAAATCTAAACTTTTTTGTACTGTTAGTTTGTTATTACTCCCTCTGTCTCAATTTATGACACTTTTCATTTTTTGAGAATCAAACAGTTTAAGTTGGCCGACAATTTATGCATGGAATCTTCAATTTTTTTGAAATATATATATATTATACTACGTAAAAAGTACTATAAGTCTCAATAATTGACAATTCAAAATATTTAAAAGATGTATGAAAAATTTATGGTAAAAAATAGACTTGTTTGAATCTCGAAATCCAAAAGGTGCCACATAAATTGAAACGGATGGAGTATTAATTTTTGTTTTGCACTAATGAATCTTTGTAATTAATTGTAAAATTTGACAAATTATAGTAGCTAGTAATTGCGTTATTAGTAGTTGTTATTAAAACATTGTAACAAACCCGAATTCTTCACTATATTAAGAAGAGAACTAAAACGCAATTACAACTTAAGAATTGTGATTGCAATACTCAAGCTACGAAAATACAATAGATATATTGAAATAACGAGTAACTAAAAGATAGAGATATGAATAGAGGTGAGAAGTTTTGACTCTAGAAGAAGAGGAGAGGACAAACATTTTCTTCAATATGCATAACACCCATCTTTCCGACTCATTTTCCCTTTTAACCAAATGCCAATTGGGCATGGATTCCAATAAAATACTACAATATTTTACTTGATCCAATCTCATTCACCACTTCTAACTCATACACCCTTATAGAGCTAGCTTGGTTCTCAACAAACATCATGTGATTTAAGGATAATGTATAACCTAGTTCATTATAAAAAAAATAATTTTCAACTGAACTTATCTATCTATATATAGGATTTGGGTTATGATTTGTGATAATAATAATGATCATAATCAATGAAGGTACTGCATAATTTGAGATTAACAAACATGTTTGTTTGGTACAGTTAGATATACTTGATAGTTTTAAGAACTTATTAGTATAAATCATGTTTCGTGTTTGTTTTTAATTTATGTTTTGAAAGATTATGATCAAACACAATTTCAAGTTCAATCCAAACTTCACTGAAATTAAGTAATGTATTACCAAATGCTAGCTAAATCCGTGGATGGAAGAAGCAACATCTGTAGAAATTATGCAAAGGACGAAACAACATGCTCACTTTTAAAAATTAAATAAAACACATAAGGAAATAAGGACTTCCTCATGTTATTAGAAAACATTGGGTGACTTCAGTCTGCTGGAGATGTAAGTCTACTTTGGACCAATGACTCTTATTTGCAACTACTACCAGTCCACTGCAGCAAAGCCTCCTCATTGCAGAATGTTACTGCCTGAGTAGCAATTGACAGCCACTTAACACAAGACTAGTTTGCAACTCTTAAGATACATTGCCCCAGTTAAAGCAATTCAATAATGACTACGAGGAATGGTTAACCACCCTCAACTCCTTTGATCTATTGACGTCTTTTCCCTTTGGGCACTTCTTTGGGTACGAGTGTACATTCTTGGAGAAATTTCTGTAATACAGATACATATTTGTCTGGAAAAGTTCGGTAATGATCTACATGAGGAGAAGAGCCAAAGTTGAAAGAGTGAACCTCTCTCCCACTTCTCCTCTGCTCTTCGATAAAAGATTCAACTGACTGAATTGGAATGACCTTGTCAGCTGTACTGTAAAGATAAAGCTGAGGACAGGAAGGCTGGTTCTTGACAAGGACAGTAATTATCTTCGTCAGCCGCCTGTAAATTGGAAATAACCAATAATTAGAAGCAGCTATAAACCTTTTTAATAGACCAGACCTTCTAATCAATAGCTAAATACTGCAAGCCATATTTCTCTGAATTAATTCCTGATTGATAAGTAAAGAAAAAGAACATAACATGTTGAAGTGCTTACTCATTAACATCAGGCAAATTAAGAAGAAACGAGAAAAGCTTCTCAAGTGCTGCGAAAAGAACGGTTTCCATCAACATGGCTCCCTTAGCTTGAATGTTTCCCGAGGTTAACGGACTTCCCACTTCATTTCCTTCTCCAGCTTCTACTGAAGAATATGCAAAAGAGCTACGCTTCTTCAGCATGGCTGCAGTAAATCCTGCTGCCCAGACCTGCAAGCAGTTAAGGCTGAATTACCATATAACTTTCCTCATTACTCAATTCTGTAGGATCAGAATCAACACTATACAACAAGAGAGAAAATAATGCAGTGCATATTTTAATAGGAAAGAATGAAAGGACAAATGATCTTCCAAAATGAAAAGAACAGAATCCCCCCACAAAAAGAAGAGAAAAAATTGTCAATCATTCTTGGAATGGAATTTCCCCAAGTTGTGAGAAAAACTCCATCAAACAGTTCAATCTACCAAAGAAGCCAGGCAATGGCAAAAAGCAATGCTGAAATCTCAAAGAACATTAAAAGAGGTTTGCGTCTTGCTATACCCTACAAGAGTTATGATAGAACCTATCATCTATAAATTGAAATTTATATGATAGCTTTAAACCCTTTCAACAGTTTGAAACACATCCCATACCCAGCCCGTTTCCTTTGCAATGAGAAAACTCATTTCTTTGGCAGTAGAGGGTAAAAACTTTTCAGGTATCCCTATGTTAATCAGTGAATGAAGAACCCCTTGGTATACGTTAATCATCCTGGCCCTCCGATGATATGATGAATCCATAGTTACATTTTACTAAACCAAACCAATTTCAGAGAAAAGAGTAATTAAGGTTCAAACAAAATTGATAGCATCTGAATATTATCTTATAAAGCATCAGATAAAGGATATTGATGGTAGGGTGAGGAAAACCAAACAACCTTGGGGCTTATATCTGGATCACCACCGGAATCCACGACACAACCCTTGATCTTTTCCAACAAATCCTGTCTATTTTTCAAATTCTCAAGAATAGCACCATAACTGCACAGAAACAAATAATAAAGGTTAAAACAGCTAAAAATTACTAATAACTTTAGCATGATCAATATTTGAAGTCCCATTAATCAACCTACGCAAGCCATCCGGTATTACTGAAAGTGTGAAAAATCAAACACCGTTCACGACCATCCTTATCGGATTCTGACAACCACAAAGCAAGCTCATTTGCCAATACAGCAATCCTCTCCTCCAATTTCTTGCCAAGATCGAAAGAAAGAACATCTTTCACAGAAGCAACAAACGTTAGAGCGTGAATACCCTTAGAGTTATACAACTCAATATACCTCCTCAAATGTTTCGGCTTCGACCCGAGCCAACCCAACATCACAACCGTCACAATTGGGCCCTCTTTGGGTGTTGCCCCAATTTCAATACCCTTTTCACTGCCAGCAGCAAAATGCCAATTGAATAATTTATCTTGGGTACCTGATACTATACGAGCAAAACGATTGCTGGATAAGATGGGATTCAAGAATTGCGATGGGAAGGGATTTTTCGAAAACCCAAATGGGGAAGAAAGTGGGGAGGAGGGATTGCGATGTGATAAGAAAATGCGGGGGCGATTCTTTGGGGGAGAAGAAAGTGAAGGGGTTCGAAAGGAAGATGGTGATAACGGAAGGGGCTTGTAATTGAGTTTGAGGAAGAGAGAAGGGGAGACATGGTGGCGATTAGAACAAGTGAGTAGTCTGACAGAGGCTTCCATGAATGACGATTTGCGACTTTGTTGTTTGCTTACAGGTGATGTTATTTGTACTGGTGGATTGTTAAAGAGGAATGATTCCTTTTTTTTAAAAATAAGTAAACAAAATATTTAAGATTTTCGATATCTATATTGAAGGTCGACTGATTCAATTTTCAGCATTAGATTCCATTTTTAAAGTCCGCACTCCCAATACAACTTTTTTCATACTTAAAACTCGGGACGACCCATACCCACGCAGTCCATGTGGTAGACTTTTGAGAGAAATGAACTGGACACCTGGCTTTATCCAACTTCTTTGCTTTAGTGCTTAGCGTTTGGAACAAGTAAAGTTAACAATTCCTTACCTGATGTTTACCTACACAAGCAAAGAATTCTTTTTGTTTTGTTTTTGACATGGTATACACTATACACAACGGATCCAATTTATTTACCTTTTGAGTTCAAATGCTGGACTAATTTGATTGAAGGGAAAAAATACATCCTATCATGATCTTTTTATTCTCACGGCTTAAATTCGACAACTCTAATTAAATCTAAAAAGATTTTATCCATTCAATTTGCTCTTATTCAACAAACAGTGATGAGGATTTTGTACTCATTATAATTCTCTGTCCCCATTAAAATCAATATTTATATCAAGTAGACTGCTGAAATCATGCTTATAAGTATAAAATAAAAATGTTCAGATCAAACGGTTTCGGAAAAAAAAACCAGTTTCTTTGGAATAAAGTGTTACATAAAAGTGAGGGGCGAAGTATCTTACATATTAGTAGACAGTAGTATCACAAAATTGGATATCTTATTTATTGCTGTTACAATCTTTTCTTCTCTTTTTTATTTTTTTTTCTGAATTGCTATCACAAAATTGGATATTTTCTAGCGCTTTAGCCTCCTCCAACGAAGGACTTTCCAACGTGAATCCGAATTTAGTCGGGCTCCAATGTGAGTATCGAACATCGGGTGAGGAACAAAAAAATAATAATTCACGTATAGTAGGAACTTGGTGAAGCATATATAGAACTTAGCCAGAGAGAGAGAGAAAAAAAATCAGTCTTTCATGGTTTACTGAGTGTGCTGAGAGATGAGAGCACTCAACCCTTCGATAAAACATACTCTACTGCATATGTTAGCAATGAGGCTAAATTTCTGATGCCAAGGTTGATAACCAATCTAATAAAGCTTTATTCACTTGTTCTGGAACTTCATCCTGGGGGTAATGCCCTGCCTGCAAGTTTACAAGGGATGTGTTCGGGTAGAAATCCTTAATTTGATTTGGCTTTGCACGATCATGAACCCAAGGGTCTAGGTCCCCCCACAACAACAACAATGGGCAAGAGAGTTGGCTCAAAACACTGTCAAGTGTATACTTTGTTGGGTTTGACATGAGTTGTTTTAGTAGTCTGCACAAATGCGAAGTAGACAATATTAGCTAACTTTCTTAACCTAAACTTTTTGATACATAAACAGCAGTTGGAACTTAAAAGTATATATATCTGACAAAGGAGATGTAGTAAATCTCTTTCGTACACTTCTAAATGTTAGTAGTATCTCAAAATTGTCTTTGCACTTCTATCAATTTGCTAAACTCTCTTGGCATATGCTGGAAAAGGCCGAACCATCTCAGTTTGAAGTTCCAAAGACAAAACTCGTCAAACAGGCTTGAGTCATGAGAGTCAAGGACTTCAATATGAATGTGGGGAGATTTCTATTAAGATTCTAGACTAATAAGGCAGATAATGGTGTTCCAAGCGAGAAAATGATAATGGCTTTTAGCTGCCAAAAGGAGGTGAAAACCTATAGGCTATATAGCTGCATTCATACCGGTAATAAACTTCATAGGCATTTGGGTCAGCTGCAGGCCTTAAAATTGAATTGATGAGGTAATCATCCACATTTGAATGATTTCTGTAGACCTTGAAACAAGAAAAACATCAAGGAAGTTAGTTCTTCTATCTGATGTTCCTCAAGATTATCAGGGGTAGTGGCTAAATAACAAATGAAATGCAAATGCAGAAACCAGCCATCCGTTTCTGATGCATCGTGCAAATAGCAAGAAGATATAAGGTTCAAATTTAGCTAGGAAGGAACATACACCACTCTTCAGTACAGCTTCAATTTGATCTGGTCGCATTGTTATCCAGAAAGCCGATCTGACAACAACACGTTGAAAGATTTCCTCCACTGGCTTTACAATGAACTTATGTAAGGCTGTCTCTTCAGTTTTGTCGGTTGTACTAATGTCATCCCCAAATCGTCCTGCACTATTTAATAAGGAAACTCCCCTGACTTGATCTGGTAGTGCTGCTGCTGCTAACAAAGTAGTAAACCCTCCAAGACTGTTTAAATAATACAAGTCATCATAACATAATTCAATTACATACTACTTATATATTAATGAAGCTCTACCAATTAAAGCTGCTAATTGCATCTTGTAGATTCATTACAATGACAAGTTTGTAAATAGATGAACTCACCTGTTTCCAACTAAAACAGCGGGTTGTTTAACTATCTCATTTAAGAAGTCGACAACCTGATCTCTCCAAATCAAGGCATCATAGTCTATTAGTGGCTTTTCACTCCAGCCAAATCCTAGCAAATCCAGAGCATAAACCTTGTATCTTTTAGCCAGTTCTGGTATGTTATACCTAAGGTTTGATGCAAATAAGCCCACTAATCTTATATAATAAAACTCAATGTTACACAAAAACAAATATTATAGAATTACCTCCAATGAAAAGAAGAAGAAGCAAATCCATGGATCAAAACTATTGGAAACCCTTCCCCTTCCACGACATAATGAATTCTGTTGCCTCGCCATTTCCAATAGTTGTACCCCTCTGATTTAAATGGTAATTGCTGCAAGCCTGTATTTATCAATCTTTGTTAAGTAGACATACACACACTAAACAGACACCAAGAAATTCAAAGGTAAATATGGGGTGATGAACTGACCTAGAGAAGATTCAGCAACTACAGAAGGAGTCATAATCGAAGTACCAGTAGCAACAGTTCTATTAACAGCAAAATTCCTTCTACTTATTAATTTCCATCTGCCCCCTTCAAACAAAAAGAAAAGAAGTAGAGAGATCAAAATCAATGAGTTACTGGTCTGGTGTAAGGTTAGACGAAAATCTTACTAAAACGATTACTTCTAGGTATACCTAACCTATTGCCTATGGAATTCAGCCAGTCTGTCCTAGCCGTGGCAGTAGAACTTGACATTGATTATATTTACCAACTAGAAGGATCCAAGAATCTTAATGAACTTTGGGAACAGTTGAACGTGGTACTTAGAAGTTGTGGCAGTTTAGAAGATTCTCATGAGCTTTTTCTGAATAAGATAAATAAAAAAATTGTCTTTTTCAGAAACAATGTGAAACCAGAATAAGGATTTAGGGAATCGTTTTGTTCCATGTAGAGACGACAAAATTAACAACTTGTCGTCCTCGGCAATGCGCTTAGAAGTTTCAGAACATTCTTGTACTAAACAGATGCTGCACACACTGTCAAAAGCTTGCTCTTCTTTCTTTATGTTATATTAGCTGGTCTTAATTATGCCCCAGCTCATTGTTTTCACCAATGTTTCTGCTTTGTGTTCATCGCTCTCTTCATATTTTACTATATATTATGTGCCATTTCTTTACCCCTTTGGTACCCACTTCAGAATATTCCTGTTCCACTCAATGTGAAATCATATGTTGAATCATCTCATCTAAATAGTTTAACAGGTTACGGAGAACACATTTTTATTTACTTAATTATATCTTCAATATATCCTTAAGTACCGCAAGACTTGAACGCACAACATCTGTCTACTTCAAATACCATGTTAAAAACAATGTGACCACTTAATTTAAAATTTTAAAGCTGTAAGAAAGAGCATATTTCTATTTTATTTAATTACATCTCAAACAACATATCTGTTCTTTTCTTGTGCATTTCACACACACACACACAAAAAAAAAAAAACAAGCAACTAATTGGTACAATTTTGTTGCATTCTCTGTATATTGCTGTCTTCACAGAATACGTTGGATTCTATTTGCCACCTATGAGTATTTTTACCTTTTAGACCAGCAAAATATTACTAGAATTTTTCTAGTATTGAAATTATAGCTAATTACAGAGAAAAATACCTTCTAAAATGGAGGGAGCTTCAACATATAACAGAGCTTTACAACTGAAACTCTCGTCGACCATGAGGCAAAGAAGAAGTGGTTATGAGCCATCAGATACGGAGACAGACTGGACATTGGAGAAGAGTCCACACAGGGAAGCAAACGGAAAGAATGAAAAAGAAATAGATCTTGAAGAACATGAACCAGAAGAGCCCAACGTAGCATTTGAGAGAGCAAAGGACAATAGTTCTTTTAATTTAAGCTGGAGGACTAATGTTCCAAGTTCTGCTCGAAGGAGAAGTACTAAGTCTCCTTATAAGCTTCGCAGAGACATCGATGATGGTGAATTTCCTTCTTCTCCAAAGGCTTTACCAAGAAGTGTTAGCACATTTTCACGCAGGCCTGATCATTCTCATAGAAATGTTAGTCCTTTTCAAAAATCTGAGAACCGTAGACACATATCTCCATATAAATATGCTGGTGATGATCATGACAGGCTTTTTGCTGATTCAAATAGGAAGCAAAATCAATCACAAGGTAATAATAATGTTCATAGTAGACTAGGGGAGAAGTCAAATTTTAATCGCAGGTACGCTTCTGCTCCTAGACCTGACAGACAATACAAGTTTGATGCTTCCAAGGAGAGAAGGAAAGCAAATAATAAGACGCAGACACCTTCCCAGTTGCCAGTTAGAAGCTTGTCGCGGAAAGAAAGGGAAACTCCGAATAAGCATGGACCTACAGGAGGTGAACTTAACGAAATGATTGCGGAAGCAAAGATATCTGGAAGCGCTACTGGTGCTAATCATATGTTTGAAAGCACAGAAACTGTTTCACCTGGTGATATTTTCTTTTCTCGGGACTATGAAGCTTTGAACATGAAGAAGATTACTGAAAGGAAATTCGATAAAAAGCCTCAGGTACTGACTGATAGAAATGTTGAATCAGTGAAAACACCTGGTAATTTCAATCAGAGTGGAAGAGGAAATTTATCCAGTAATACTCAAAGAACTATAAGCACAAACACTTTTGTAAGTAGACAGAGCAGTAATTTGAGTGATACTAGTGGAAGGACGACCAAAAGTATGAAAAAGTTCACCGCGAACAGGCAAAAGAGTCAATCAGAACCATGGTTTTCTTGTCTCAAGAAAGGAACATGCAGAACCTCAAGAAGAGAATCTCCAGAAAAAGGGCGTCCGATTGATGAAGCTTTAGTAATTGCTAAGGCATCTGTAGTTCAAAGCTTGAGACCCTTCTGGGCTGATAAGCATCAACCTGATTCACTAGAGGGATTTACTTGCCACAAGCAAGAAGCTTTACTACTTAAAGGCCTGGTAAACATGATCTAAACTCCCTTTTTCTGATGAATCAAGTGGTGATGCACACAAAGATACACTCACTAGGACATTTTGTTTTAACATTTTTCTGCTTAGATCACAAGTTCCTTTGGTTTTCTTATGCCTTTTCTTTTAGGTTTCTTCAAGTGAAATCCTTCCACAGATCATATTCAAGGGTCCTCCTGGTTCTGGAAGGAGAACACTCACGATGGCTTTTTTGCGTGAAATCTATGGAGATGCAATCTGCAATGTAAGTAAAGCCAGACTTAGAAGAGGCAGAGCTATGCTACATTTTTTATTGTTCATCTGTACAAGTATTCCAGCTTATTTATTTTTTTGTTTCACAGATAACCCATGATTTGAGATACTTCCAAATTAAGGTACCTCAGGCTTGATCATTTTCTGCTATTTATTCATTTATACAAGTCTCTCTAGATCATGGAAGTTAGGATTCTAAGTCTGCTAAAAATCTTTCACCTTCCATTTTCCGATCAAACAACAATACCTTTTGGTGTGCTTTGAAAGAAGCACCATTCCTCAATCAAACTGTAAGCTATTTGGCACAATTTTTGATACATTTACATGAAAAATACTATAAAGGATAAAATGTGGCTAAAAGCTTGTGATTTTCAATTGAATTTAGATTGTTCTGTTTAGTGGTTGATGTTTGTAGACAATAATTATTAATTATCACACATTATTTGGTGAATTGGCAGTGTTAAATGCAGTTTAATTTGATTCCATGCTGTGGAATGTCATTATATTTGCATAACTAGCACCAAATATCACTGTCATATATCTCTTCTATTCCCCTATCTGCTAATAGGAAACAAGGCCAGTGCAAGTTGTTGTACCAGTAAGCTCAAGTCCTCACCATATCGAGCTCAACGTTCAGTTGGAGCCTAATGCTAGATATGTGATAATGGCTTTAGTTAAGCAAATAACTTCGGAGTATGCACTGACCCCTGAGATCAGCAGAGTAAATAAGAAGGCTGATTACAAAGGTGATCATATCTATCAAAGCAAAGACTATTTTAACTATCAATCACTTCAGTCTCGACCTAATTAAGAATTACTTTGCTTCTTACAGTAATAGTTCTTTATGATGTGGACAAAGCCGCGGAGAACATACAGCACCTAGTTAAATGGATAATGGACTGCTATTCAGATGCTTGCAAACTCATTCTCTGCTGTGAAGATGATGTAGCCATACTTGACTCAGTGAAAAGCCGCAGCAAAGTTTTTGAAGTTGCAGCTCCTGTAACTCATGAAGTAAGTGTAAAAATAGGAAGTACATTCTAATATAATTATATCTTCAACTAGACACAAGAATTTCCTTCTAACTTCATATTTTGCATTGCTCAGATCATGGAAGTTCTTATTCAGATAGCAAGAAAGGAAGATTTTGAACTACCAATGGGGTTTGCTGCTAAGATAGCCGCCAAGTCAAAGCAAAACCTGCGAAGAGCAATTATGGCTCTTGAAGCCTGCAAAGCACACAAGTAATACTACTGTACTTTCAGATTGTGCCTTTGCTAGTTTATGGATTACTGATCCACACACTTTATACAGCTATCCTTTTGCTGAAGACCAACCAATTTCAATAGGATGGGAAGAAGTAGTAACAGAACTTGCAGCAGAAATTCTCGCTGATCCCAACCAAACAAGGTATTGGAATTCTAAATAGCAAATTTATTCTTCTAACTAAAGAAATATCAAAGTTGACAGTATAGGTGTATGATTTAATCAGGTTATTTTCTGTTCGAGGGAAGTTCCAAAAACTTTTGGTGGAGTTTGTTCATCCAAAACTTATTCTCCTGGTAAAGTATATGAACTTCAATGAGGATTTTTAAAGAGGTACTAATATCTAAGGAAGATCATGTCATGCGTTATGTTCAATGCAATGCAGAAACTAGTTGAAGAATTCATTAAGAGAGTTGATGCTGGTATAAGAAGGGAAATTCATTACTGGCATGCTTATTATGTAAGTTCTATCCTTCTGTATTGAAATACATATTCGAGAAATTAAAAGTCCATCGAGTAACAACAAGACGATCTGCAGGAGAAAAGGCTCCCTCTTGGAACGACTGCTTTGTTAAAATTAGAAGGTAACTTGTTAAACTGCAGTATTGAACTATGTTTATAATGAGACATCAGTTCTCCTAACAAGGATTTTTATTGATTCATACGTATAATTGCAGAATTTGTGGCCAAATTTATGAGCATATACAGGAAAAACTTAAGCACCCGTCAGCAGTTTTTATAATTCATGACTACACATGGACGCGCACTAGTCTGATTGAGAGAAGGCTCAAATTTTGGTCCCATAAATCTTCCAAACACTCTGCCTTTCATAACAGGGATTACACAGCCATTCTTAGCAGATTGTAAAGATAAATCTTGTGTTTATATGTTGATGCAAGAGTCAAGACTTGTATGCTTCTGGTCCTTTATGTGATATAACCACGAGGACATCTGTTTCTATGAAAATAAAATTATGTTGTCATTTTCATTTCTAGTTAAGTATATTTGTAATTTAAATACCTCTCTCTATTTGTAATTTAAATGAAGAATGAGAAAAATTATTATCTGGATACACAACTTGAATAATAGACCTAATAATTTTGTTAGGACATCCCTGTTAAATTTGACAAGATTCAAAGATGAATTAATGTGAAGATTTGGTAGTTAGGAAGATAATTCTTCATTGGTACGAAAGTCAAGATAACATCTTTTGTAGGTGAAATTTAGGTGAACCATAAAATGGTTTCATAAGGTAAATCTTGACATTTTGACACATTGTGATGCAATAGGAAGAATTCACTCCTATAAATAGGTAGTTCCTAATTCATTTATAACACACCTCTCACTTGCCTTCTCATCTTCAAAGGCATTTAATCTTCTTTCTCTCTTGTAGTATTTCACTTGTAAATATTGGTTGGTTGTGTCCGAGGAGTAGGCAAAAGAAAACAAAAGTTTGTCGAACCTCGTTAATTCCTGGTGTTCTTTTTATTGTTGTCTCATCTACTATTTATTAGCTACCTTTAGAAATAGCAGTTGTGATTTCATTACTCTCTAGATATTCGGCTTCCGCAACAATCCCATCCAAAAAAAAATGTAACCTACAAATTTTATTATTCAAGACGACCCTTCTTCAAGATCGCTCTAATTGAAATTATAGATTTCAGAAGAACTACATAGTTAAAAAGTATTGAGACTCAGGCTTTTTGATTCGGTTGAATTATTTATCTTAGGAATAAACAAATTACTATAAAAATTCTTCCATACTGATTTGATTAGGCTTTTCGGTTGGATTTTTTTTTTTTTTTTTGGAACACCCTCTACACCAAATATAGGGCATGTAAAGAAAGAGAGAATTGTACTATATCATTCCTTATTTAAAGTATAAGTATCTATGTTGATGAGGAGATTTTGTTTGATACAAAAAGGGAAGGCTTTTAATTAATGACCATATTTATTTAAGTTGATAATAAGATTCAGATTGAGTTAGATTATACTGGAACTTCCAAATCTGAATAAAGTAAAATAAAGAAAGTGTACGATGGAAAAAGATGATGCATTTATGTTATTTCCTTCCAAAACTGAAATGCAGAAATTCGCCTTACTTCACTTTTCCATTTCTCGAAGTTAAAACTTCCAAAAATTCGTTTGGTCATAATTCAATTTTCAAAAAATTAAGAATATTTTTATTTTTTTCACTTCAAATTATTTATAAAAAGTAAAAAAAATACAAATTTAATTTATATTCATGATCAAATATAATTTTAATTTTGAAAATATCATTTTCTACTTTAAAATTAAATTATTATTTTTTCACATTTTACAATGAAACACAATTAAACAGTCATTAAGAAAATTTTGAAAGATTCTTTTTAGTGGTCGTTTGGTAGGGAATATTAGGAGAAATAGTTCATAAGTATTATGTATGATATTATTTAGTACTATGTTTGGTAGGAATTTTAGCCCTATGTATAACTACCCTACATGATATTATAGGATGTATAAGTAATATCTCTCATTTGATGGTATTAGTAATACATATGATTTAATATCACGAGATTATCTATGTAAAGACAAAAATATCCCTCAAATCTTTTTAATCATTTTATTTATTTTCTTGATTTTATGATTTATATTTTTACCAGTAAATTTATTTAAATAAATTATCTTACAAATTTTATTATTTAGAGAGAGTTGTTTGTTGCTAAATAAATACAATACAAATCAATAAAATATTTGAAATATGAGTTATTTTAACATTTACTCATTGAAGACAAGCATATAACCATATGACACTTGTGATCTTAATTGAATGTATCTTTTGTTGATATATATGTGATTTTCTAATTATTCGTATTTTGAACAATTTATAAAATTGCGTACGTATTAAAACTACAGTTTACAATTTTATGTTAAATGTAGATGGTTTATTCGATTTTACTATTGTGTACCGTCTTTTCGGTTCTAAATGTAGATGGTCTATCCCTTTTAAATTGAGAATTGATGTTTTGTGAGTAATCAATTTATTAAGGTGAAAATTATTTACCCTTAATGAATTCAAGTGAAAAATTAGCAAACATGACAACAAAATTGTTTTTCTCCTAGCTCGTAAGAAGACCATTAAAAAATAATATTATCCGACAATTATCTATTTTGATCCAATTAAAAATAGAAAATCTCATCATAATTCAAGGGTATAACTGGAAAGAAACTTTTTATAGAGTTTTAATCCAAACATAAGATGAGGTGATAAACAATGAACCAAACACTTGATAAAAAATAGTCTCTCCATTATTAATTTTTGGGATAAGGGTTTGAAAAATACCCCAACTTTGGTCGAATTTGTTATTGCGATACTAAACTTTCATAAGGACCTATTACCTACCTAAATTATTTAATACTGTATTTTAAACATATATATTTGCCCACGTGGACATAAAAAATAATACAAAATTATAAATAGTAATGTGTCCACGTGGGCACATATATACCTTTAAAATACACTATTAAATAGTTCAAGAGGTAAAAAATTACAGTATTAAATAATTTAGGGAGGTAATAGATTCTCATGAAAGTTTAGTATTGCAACAATCAAAGTTGGGTATTTTTCAGACCCTTATCCCTTAATTTTTCTACCAAATGACGTGATTTCATCAATACAGAAATTGCGTGGCGTTCACTGATTGGTCCTCTGGTTTCCCATTTCCTATAACACTGTTTCTTTGCTTTTACTACTTCTAGAAAAATTCATTTCCCAAGAAAGGCAAAAGTATAATATTTTATTATATACAATAAATAAATGAAACCATATTAACCGTTGGATGTAAGCAATTTGACGATCGGACGTCGCAACTTGACTCTAAGACTGACTAGTGGAAACTTTTTGTAGAAAGTGAATACTCATATGACGCGCACACACCGCAAAAGTTGTATATATTGCCCCTCACACACCAAGAAAATAGTGAGCAACTGAGCAGAGTGTCATTCTCCTTCACCCATTCTCTCTCTGTAAGTAATTCATCTTTTTTCTTTTTCTGGGTCGACTTGCAGATAGATTTTTTGTTTCTGTTTGTCATTTGATTGCTATAAATCCATATAACTTTTTAGTTTTTATATGTTGCTTTTTTGCAAGATTATTTCTGGTGACGCTTAGATTGTAGTAATAGTTTTCTTTATTTGATATGTTTCTGAGTTTCTTTTGATATTTTTCTTTCTGGGTTGATTTTGCGAGTGGGTTTTACTTCGGCTTGTTGTTTGTGCCTGGGATTGGTTAGCGTTCTTTTCACTCGAACCGTGCCATCTTTTCTAATTTTCAGCTCTTCTTTAAGGGTTTTAGAAGTAATCTTGTTTTCTTGATTCCTTTTGATTTACGTATGGTTGAGCTTACGCCTTTTTGAATCCACATTCCATCTATCAATTTCTTCTTCTTTTCTTGTTACCTTTTTGGGGTTCTAAAGTGGCTTCCAATACACTTACTAAATTCAAGTTAAGGGTAGTTTGACAGGGGAAAAGAACACGCTTCTCTGCTTGTGAAAATTTAATTTGTTTATGTCAATTGTATTGCTAGCAACCTGGGCTGGATATTTATGTCCTGATTGTCTGATCATAATTGTTACTATTACATTGAATTATGATCGACTAGATATATGCTAATTGTTGGCTTTCCTTTTTGTTGTTAAGTTAAATATGGCTGAAAATAGTGGAAAAGGGATCGGAAGAAACTCAGGAACCTCTCGTGTTGCGCTTAATGAAAGAATTCTCTCCTCAATGTCACGAAGATCTATTGCTGCTCATCCGTGGCATGACCTAGAAATTGGTAACAATAACTATTTAATTCTTGTAACAAGAAAAACGAAAGAAAAGATGTAGACAATCTATTCAGTGAATTTCCTTTTAATCAGCATTAGTATAATACGATTATCCATTTCAGTGTCTGGGTGTTATTTCATAGTCTTGTTATACATTGCACTGTATGGGGCTTGGTGTCTTTTTGTACTTATGCTTGATGTTCTGCTCGTGCAGGGCCAGGTGCACCTTCAATTTTCAACTGTGTAAGTGTTTAAGTGCCAGTAATTCTTTTCTGAAATTATTTGATAAGGTACTTAAGTTACTCCAACAACCATAACCTTCTTATCTGGCTGTACTTGTCCACTTTTTTTGTTAGTAGTGATTTTCATTCTTTTCAGAAGATCATTTATTAAGTGCAAAGCAAGGTGTTTCAATATATGTATACTGGTTTGCTCTTTTTGTTTATCTAGTCAATAGTGATCTTTGAATAATCTACAGTTCTCAACTGGAAAAATATAACAATGATTGGCAGTTTCACATACAGGAAAAGAATTCAAATGATATCATCCTACTTGCTATCTCACATGGGCTTGCACGCCCATTATTATCTCTGTAATAGTTGTTATTATCTGGCGGGGGAGATAGTCCCAACTCCCAAGTACTACACAGATGGCATTAAGTTTCACGCAAACTTAAATCTTAAGACTTATTTGGCAGGTGGTTGAAATAGGCAAAGGCAGCAAAGTCAAGTATGAGCTTGACAAAGCAAGTGGCCTTATAAAGGTGCTATTTTAACCCAATGATCTTTATTTCTTTCCAGCCTTTTGGAATTCATTGAAGAGTTTTCATGGTTATGATAATCATTTGACTGAATTGCTGAACTTGTGTCTAAAAGGTTGACCGAATACTGTACTCATCAGTTGTTTATCCACACAACTATGGTTTCATCCCAAGAACCCTTTGTGAAGACAGTGATCCAATGGACGTCTTGGTACTGATGCAGGTATGCCTCCGTTTAGACACATACATACACACATCTTCCTTAGGCCCAATCTTGCATTACTTGCCTCAGTGTAAGCTTACTCCTGGGTACTCTTACATCCATCCTATATGTTGTATAGGAACCTGTGTTACCAAGTACCTTTCTTCGTGCTCGTGCAATTGGATTGATGCCTATGATTGATCAGGTAAGGTTTTTCGATAGAGTAAACTTTCTGCCACATTTACTTTAGGACATTGAAAATTGCTGAACAAAAAACCATTTGCTTATAAAAAATCTAATAGTTTAGTTTTGATTTCCTTAAGTTTTATTGTGTACCTATTTTTAACCTTGAGAGCTCAATAACACTTGATAACTTCTCCTTTTGTCAATTTTGATGAAGGGTGATAACTTCTCATCGTTGCAGTTGATAGAAAATCTACGAGAGAGAATATTAAAACCAGAGTTAAAATATTAATAGACACAAACAAAATAACTTTGTTGTGTGTGACATTGTGACACCACAGTTATATTTCCCTTTTGTGTGAGTGCATTACAACATCTGTAGGGTAATGCGAGTCCTTTAGCAAAATATGGAATAACTGATAGATGCTAATGCTCTGTTACAGGGTGAGAAAGATGACAAGATAATAGCAGTGTGTGCAGATGATCCTGAGTTTCGCCACTACACAGACATCAAGGAGCTCCCTCCTCATCGTCTTGCTGAAATCCGGCGCTTTTTTGAAGACTGTATCCTCTGATATGGCATTTCATCATGTTTTAATTAAAGAAGGAAATACTCCATATTCATCCTGATAGGTCTCTGAGGCTGCTGGATGTGTATGAAGGATTCTGGCTTCATATGTTTCCCCAATGAGTGTCCATTTCCATTTGTTATAAATGTCAAGAATATTTTTGAGTAAAGATTATGTTTGCATATTGTAAGGCTTTTGACAACCTTTACTAGGTTCTGCATCTACTGTTTCTCCTATACATCCTTGACTCTCTATCAACAGATAAAAAGAATGAGAACAAGTCAGTTGCAGTTGAGGACTTTCTGCCTGCTGAAGCAGCTGTAGATGCCATCAAGTATTCCATGTCAGTGCTTTTGAGTTCTCTCATGTTATAAGAATGTTTATTCTTTGTGTTATCAATGATCCTAACCAAAAGATATTCATCTCCATGGTTGTGATCACAGGGATCTGTATGCTTCTTACATTGTGGAAAGTTTGAGGAAGTGACCTTGTTGAGGACATGTTGTTGTCATGACTGAAAATCTAAGTAGAGAAGCCGGCTGACTTGTTGAAGATGGCTACCTGAATTTCATATGCATACTTTAGTTTAATGTGGTATTATCAATTACTATTTGAAATGCATATGGAACTTTCAATTTTCATGAATTCAGAAAAGATGTGGAACAGAAGCATCAAGAAAAGCACTGGTAATGTGCAGTGGTGGTGCTGTAGAAAAAATGCTTGCTCAACATCTAAAAAAGCTTACAATATATTGAACTTGCTAGCTATCTTGTTTTGATTGGCTTTTGTTTCTCTTCTTCTTTATCTTAATATCCACCCCAAAAACCTTATAGCTGTGCGTGAGTTGCTCATGATATTACAAACTTCATGGAGTACCTTACACAACAATTTAAGAGAAAATTGTCCTTCATGAGATAGATTTTCACATGAAAATTTGCTAAACTGATGATCTAAATAACAAAAAAGTTATGCTGCGAGACTTCAAAACAGAATGACAGTCATTTGAGGGTGGTGGGTTCTCGGTCTTATTTCTAATTTGGGACAATAGAGAGGCTATTTTTGATAGGCCTTCAGCTCAATAGTAAAAATAAAATAGAAGAACAAGGTTGTTAGTAGGAGAGTACTAGTATTTTAATAAAATAGAAGAATAAGGTTGTTCAACTACCTACTAACCTTCTATTGTAATTCTCAATTTTCGTATCCTTTAATTCAAGATCATGTCCTTGGTAAGCTATATATGTGTCATGTCTGTTAAGTGGCCTCATATAGTTCTTATGTCTTACCTCTCATCCCTCCTCACAAAACCATTTGTGTGTCTCCTTTTCATATGTCCAAATCATTTCAGTCTCGCTTTCCTTGTCTTGTTCACAACGGAGATCACTCCCACCTTGTTTCGGATATCTTCATTCTTAATCCGACCTCTCTTAATATGCTCATACATCCATCTCAATATCCTTATTTCTGCGAGTCCGAAACCTAAATAAGCCATAAAGAGATAAAAGTGATCAAAATAAGCCACTATTCTAGCAACTAACTAAAATAGGCTTAGTGGAAGAAAAAATTTCGTTTTATGCAATATTCCAAACGTTTTCTGTTAATCTCATAACGTGTATATTTTAATATATAACAGAACTATTTTTTACACTTTGTAAAACTGAATTACTTCTTACACTTTGTAAAGTGGAAGTTTTTCTTACACTTTATAAAGTGGAAAAAAAAAATGTTTTACAAAGAGGAATATTTTTCACGTTTTGCATTAAATTGTATTTCTTTATGAAGCTTTTGCAGCGTTTGTCATACAATTATATTGATTTGACATATCATAAAAACGGAAAAAATTATTACATTATGTATTTTTATTTTTTTATTCTGAAAACTCCTCCAATCTCTATTTAAGGACGTTCAAACATAGCACCTTCAACATCTTTAGTCTTCTATTTTTCTTCATTTCAATCACACAAAAAAAATGTCTTCTAAACCAAAAGTTAGAGTTTTGATTTATTGGGATGGCGAAATTATACATGACGGAAATACCGTTTATTATAATTGCCCTCCCAAACACAATGCTAAATATTCAATTAATGTCTGATATCATAAATTTCTTTCATCAATTTATAAAAGAATGGATATAAATAGTACTGATTATAATTTGATTATAGTCGGAAAATATTCTACTTCATTTTTATCACAAGGACAAGTAAATTTTGGAGAGTGGATTATCTATAATGATGAATCGTTGACCGACTTTTTGAGGGTTCCAAATGACTACATAGATCAAATCAAGTTAACAATACTTGAAATTTATGTTAGAAAGGAGCCTAAGACTAGTCAACAACATTCTCCTTTATCGGTCGATGTCCATCTCTGATTAGAAAATCGTAATAGCGTTGATGGATTTCCGATAACTCAATCTACTGATTTTCCTAACATGACTCATTATCAAAATATTATGACATATCATAAATTGTATCTCTTGGAGGAGTTTTCTGAATAAAAAAATAAAAATACATAATGTAATATTTTTTTCCTTTTTTGTGATATGTCAAATCAATTTAATTGTAAGACAAACACTGCAAATGCTTCATCAAGAGATACAATTTAATGCAAAACGTGAAAAATATTCCTCTTTGTAAAACAAAATTTTTTCTTCCACTTTATAAAGTGTAAGAAAAACTTCCACTTTACAAAGTGTAAGAAATAGTTCTGTTTTACAAGGTGTAAAAAATAGTTCTGTTATATATTAAAATATACACGTCATGAGACTAACGGAAAACGTTTGGAATAGTGCATAAAATGGAATTTTTTCTTCTACTAAGCCTATTTTAGTTACTTACTAAAATAGTGGCTAATTTTGGTCACTTTTATCTTTTTGTGACTTATTTAGGTTTCAAACTCCATTTCCGTCTTTTGGTTATGCGACTTCTTGACTGAACTCTTCACCCTATACAACATAGTTGGTTTAACAATACTTTATAATATTTACCTTTTAAGTCTTAGTGACATATTTTTATTACTACAAACACAATATCTATGCTAAAAGACTATAAAATTATAGCTCTAGAATGATTGGAGCATCTTTTTAAAAACTTTATTATCCTCTTTCATTTTAATTTGTTTGTTTCTATTTTGATTTGATAGTGAACTTAAGAAAAAAAATAAATTGAATCTTATGATCTTAAACATGTCTAGGTGCTAAAAGAGATATTCATTTTTAAATGAACTAAAAAGAAAAATAGAATAAATTAAAACTATGCCAACGGAGAATAACATTTCCAAACAATAGTAACATGAATAAATATGTGGAAGTATCATTAATTTTCTTATGATGTGAAATAATTACTCAAGAGTATTATGTTAGAGGGAAATAATAATTCACAAAGTCAATAATTCCTTTATAGCACAGGAAATAATAAAAACAATTTATTTCATAAAAACTTGTTAATAGAAGGTCAAAAAAAGAAAAGAAACGAGTGCACTCAATACGAGTCGGGGTTTGGGTTCGGTTCAGCTCACTTCACCTTTTACCCTCTGTGGTATCCACGCTCCTCATTTCTCAACTCCTTAGCTAAACTCAGCTAAATAATCAAAACAAATATACGTTTGAATCAGTGAATTTGGAGAAATACGGTGCTGGAATCGGAAGCAATAGAGGATGGGTTCGGCGATGAAAGCAATCTACACCGTTGGATTCTGGATCCGGGAGACAGGCCAAGCCCTTGATCGGTTGGGCTGCCGCCTCCAGGGAAACTATTACTTCCAAGAACACCGTACGTCTCTTCTTTCTCCTCACTTCTTCATATCTATGAGGTTTAAACATGTTATTGTTTCATATAAGCGAGAACTAGGGCTTTAGGTATTTGAACTCTTATTATACACATTAGTTCAAGTCACAGAACGCTTTCAATTGTATAAATTAATTAGGCTTTGTTGTGCCGTTTCTCTTTAGCTGCATTTTCGGCGCTGTGTTGTCTGAACATTAATTTTATTAGCTCAGCTTCTTATAGATAGCACTGTGAAGCTGACATTGCAATGTTTGATGACAAGTACTTAAGTTTTAGTACTGTTTTTTGAGCTGCATAGAGCTATTAGTATCTGATTATCTCTTATTTAAGGGGATAATCCCCTCTTGATAAATGTCGACTTATGTAGTGTAATTTTTCTCTTGTTTACTTCCCTTTAAAACTACAAATGGATACTTTCCCTTTTAGTTTCAGTAAAAGAATGTTGTTATATTGATAACATAAAGTAACACAACCGCTTCGTAAAGCTAGAAAGAATAAGTGACATCAAATTTCATTGGCATTTTATATTTTTCTCCATTCCAAACAGACATTCAATGCTCTAACTTTGAAAGTGTAGTTTCAAAGTATTTTACTGATTATCAGTCTCAATGAGATGGATTGGTGGTTGCGGCATAGGATAACAACCTAGAGATCTTAGGTCTGAATTCCTGCTATGACGCTTAGAATGAACTTATTTCACAACCTTGGTAGACAGGATTTCCTGTCACTTGTGGTTGTGGGCTGTAGTAGGCTGTCTGATGAATAAGCCCGGCTGTAGTTGAAGTTACAATTTTTTGCTTAAGAAAATAAGGTCGATTACAAGTATTGTTGATTCAAGCTTATCAAGAGTGATGAGTGATCATATAGGGTTGCTAATTTGAAGGCTGCTCATGATACTGAGTACTTATAGCATAGTATACTATGACATATATGATCTATCTTACAATATGTCTAACAAAAATTCGAGAGCTAGATTATAAATTCTGATCTAACCCAGTTCTGCATAACCATGCACTCAACATTGTGATTAATGTAAGTAGCTCGGGTTAATTGTGATAAATTATTAGTCTATAAATATTTTCATCAGGGTGAGACGCTGAGGCTTGGAATCTTTGACAAGCATTTTACCAGTGTCGATTGTGATGATCCTAGTTACATTTCACAATCAGCCAATCTCACCATCTTAGGTTTTATTTCTGCTCTCTATGTTTGGCTATACTTCTAGAATTATTTCCTAGTCTTCTACTCTTTCCTGTGTTCTGTTATATAGTTTCCTCCTTATGTCAAACCACATATTTTTTATTTCATGTCTAAACTTATTGGTATGTTGATGTGCTTTCTACAATATGCAGCATGCCTTCTTGCTTTAACGTTTTTTATTCTCTACCTCCTTTTTATTCCAGTGTCGAGGCATAGAACTTTGATGAACCTGTTTGACAAAGTACCAGTTGTTGAGAAAGATGCATTTGTGGCCCCAAGTGCCTCTATAATTGGTGATGTTCACATTGGTCGTAGTGCTTCTATTTGGTATGGGTGTGTTCTGCGAGGTATGTTCTGTTTCTGCATATGATGGTAGTGTCAGTGCTGCTTTATAAAAAAAATGGTAGTGTCAGTGCTTAAAAACCTTCTTAAAGAAGTATGCTGCTATTATACTGATTGATTTTGAAATATACATTTTTTGTCATGGTAAAATTTTCCTGGAGACATTGGAGGAGGGTGAGAAAAGTATTCCTTCTTGTATCACAAAATATTTGTCTTTTCTTGAATTATGTTAATGGTTAGATATTTAGGAGACAACTGCATTATGGACTCCTCAAGCTTTGTAGTTGAATCAACACTATGTCCTATGCCAAATCTTTATTTATAAAATGTGTTTGTTGATAGTTAGCTCAGCAATGTAGAGATTGCTTATTTCTTGAAATACAGCATTATGATGTTACATG